TTTTTATTTAGACATAGACGTAGAAGTTTTAAATTCTGTGTAAATAAGAATTTTGTAAATATGGAAGAAAATTCTAAAAAAATAAAGAAAAAAAAAGAAGAAAATTTAGTAAATTGAAGAAAAAATTTTAACTGTATAGTATTGTGTTATTTATATCTGAACTGATGTGAAGAAAATACAGTATACAAAGTACAGAAAGACTCTTCAGCTATGGATAGCTTAGAAATCTCCTAATGTAATTTCAAATTACGTAAGTATTATGAATTAATATAAAATTGGGAAATTTGTTCTCAAATTTTAATTTTATGATAGAATAATACTTACGTAATTGGATCCCACCCACCTCCCCTTTAGAATCTTTTTTGGCAAACACTTTTCGCCGAGAGAAACTGGGGAATCACGCATGAGTGGTGGGAGTCGATACACCTGAGCGCTTTTTTAATATCTTAAAGCGCGAACGGCGGTGTGAATACTAATTAGGGGGAGATAATCCTAATGTATTTTCGAATAACGTAAGTATTATTCAATCATAAAATTAAAATTTGAGAACAAATTTCCCAATTTCATAGCTAGCACCGTCATATTAAACGTAAAGGGAGATAGCAACTAAACTATCATAGTACATATATGTAAAAGACCCCTTCTGCAGATTTCGTTAAGAGTGGGCTCTTTGGGGCAGCTGCAGAGGCAATATTTGTTAGGGACCCCAAAATTTTTTCTTTGGCAGTAACACTCAAAATTGTGGACATTTAAGTTATATATGTCTACATTGGCAAGAGGTGAAGGGGGAAGGTTGAGTGCTCATAAAATCTGTTTAACCCTGCCACATTTTTGCGTCTGTCCTAAGTCAGGAACCTCTAGCCTTTGTTGGTCTTGTATATTTTTTGATTTTGGTTCATCTATATGTTTTGGAGATTAGAATGGCGTCCATTTTCTTGATCTAGTGTACATTGTGTTTTGGGGCCTGCTCAGGGCTGCCTCTGGGTGTGGGATTTCTCGCTGTGTTGAAGACCCATTGATGGCCTTGGGTTGACTTGTATATTTTGGTTGGAATGTTGTCTCTTTGACACATTCCCAGTGGCTTCCTTAAAACTGTTCTTTTATTTTTTAAAACTGTGGTATAGCTTATTGTAGAATAACATCTTTCCAAATTAAAACAAAAATCCATATTATGCCAAGAAGTTACCATAATATCATAGAAAGACATCTATAGCATGCTTATTTTTGCGTTGTAGTATTCAGATATACATACATTGAACAACTCGATTCTTAACTATTTGGTATATATATGCACTCTCCGCCTGGGGTTGAATCACAATGTTAACAAAGTTCAAAATTATTTAATTTATCACATAAAGCACATAACATATTACATTTCTTACTAATTCATGAGATATTTTCCTAAGTTAAATGTGCAATTGTGCCTATATCACCCTAAACCTTTGCGAAAGACGAAGAGTTAGCACTTGGTATGCTAATGAATATCCTTTATTCAAATGTCACTGATGAGTCTTGTAAAGACGAAACGCATGTCTGGCGTAGAAAATATTATAAGCCTGGTACCTTTGATAAGTATTTACTTTAGGCCTAACACACTGCCATATTCTGTGAGATGTCGCTAATTTGCAAGTATATTTCATTTGTCTACATGATTTATTTTCTTATGCTTGATTTGTTCAGGACGGTATACATTTTGTCTTATATCTACAGTATATCCTGTTTTATTTTAGAAAATGAACAATGTCTCTCTCATGAAAGAAATTTAAGTGTGCGTGACTTTGCAACATATAGACTCTTATAAATAAGTATCACATAACTCTTTCAAACCCTGCAAGACTTTGCAACATATAGACTCTTATAAATAAGTATCACATAACTCTTTCAAACCCTGCAATCAAAATACAGGGACCCTTCCTCATGTAGTGTATAACTAAGTTCGGTTTCATGTATGCTTTGTTTATTAAATGCAAAGTAATCCTGAAAATTCTGTTTCAAAAATCAGACGACACGACCGTTTATATAAATATATAATTCTTAAGTAATTAGAGAAACATAATATTTTTGTTACTTCGTAACTCGCAACTCAACTTTTGTAACTCGCAACTTAACTTTCATAACTCCCAACTCGACTTTCGTAACTCGCAACTTGACTTTCGTAACTCGCAACTTGACTTTCGTAACTCGCAACTCAACCTTCGTGACTTGCAACTCCACCTTTGTAACTTGCAACTCGACCATCATAACTCGCAACTCAACATTCGTAACTCGCAACTCGACCATCGTAACTCACAACTCGACCTTCGTAACTCGCAACTCGACTTTTGTAACTCGCAACTCGGCTTTTTCAACTCGCAACTCGACGATAAGAAACCCTCCTTGTGCATTGTATGGATCAGATACATGAACACTTGTGCATAGTGTGGATCAGATACATGAACACTTGTACATAGTGTGGATCAGATACATGAACACTTGTAAATAGTGTGGATCAGATACATGTGCACATTGTGGATCAGATACATGAACTTTTGTGCATATTGTGGATCAGATACATGAACACTTGTGGATAGTGTGGATCAGATACATGAACACTTGTACATAGTGTGGATCAGATACACAAACACTTGTGCATAGTGTGGATCAGATACATGAACACTTGTGCTTAGTGTGGATCAGATACATGAACATTTGTACATAGTGTGGATCAGATACATGAACACTTGTAAATAGTGTGGATCAGATACATTTGCACATTGTGGATCAGATACATGAACACTTGTACATAGTGTGGATCATTGCAGATACATGAACACTTGTACATAGTGTGGATCAGATACATTTACACTTGTACATAGTGTGGATCAGATACATGTGCATATAATGGATCAGATACATGAACACTTGTGCATAGTGTGATTCAGATACATGAACACTTTAACTTAGTGTGGATCAGATACATTTGCATATTGTGGATCAGATACATGAACACTTGTGCATAGTGTGGATCAGATACATGAACTTTTGTGCATATTGTGGATCAGATACATGAACACTTGTGGATAGTGTGGATCAGATACATGAACACTTGTACATAGTGTGGATCAGATACACAAACACTTGTGCATAGTGTGGATCAGATACATGAACACTTGTGCATAGTGTGGATCAGATACATGAACATTTGTACATAGTGTGGATCAGATACATGAACACTTGTACATAGTGTGGATCAGATACATGAACACTTGTACATAGTGTGGATCAGATACATTTACACTTGTACATAGTGTGGATCAGATACATGTGCATATAATGGATCAGATACATGTGCATATAATGGATCAGATACATGAACACTTGTGCATAGTGTGAATCAGATACATGAACACTTGTACATAGTGTGGATCAGATACATTTACACTTGTACATAGTGTGGATCAGATACATGTGCATATAATGGATCAGATACATGTGCATATAATGGATCAGATACATGAACACTTGTGCATAGTGTGAATCAGATACATGAACACTTTAACTTAATGTGGATCAGATACATTTGCATATTGTGGATCAGATACATGAACACTTGTGCATAGTGTGGATCAGATACATGAACACTTGTGCATAGTGTGAATCAGATACATGAACACTTGAACTTAGTGTGGATCAGATACATTTGCATACTGTGGATCAGATACATGAACACTTGTGCATAGTGTGGATCAGATACATGAACACTTGTGCATATTGTGAATCAGATACATGAACACTTGTGCATAGTGTGGATCAGATACGTGAACAGTTGTACATAGTATGGATCAGATACACACACACTTGTACTTAGTGTGAATCAGATACATGTGCATAGTACTGAACAGATACATGAACACTTTTACATAATGTGGATCAAATACATGTGCCTATAGTGGATCAGATACATGAACACTTGTGTATAGTGTGGATCAGATACATGAACACTTGTACATAGTTTGGATCAGATACATGAACACTCTTGTATAGTGTGGATCAGATACATGTGCACTTGTACATAGTGTGGATCAGATGCATGTGCATATTGTGGATCAGATACATGTACGCTTGTGCATAGTGTGGATCAGATACATGAACACTTTACATAGTGTGGATAAGATACATGAACACTTTTGCATTGTGTGGATCAGATACATGAACACTTGTGCATAGTGTGGATCAGACACATGTGCATATTGTGGATCAGATACATTTAAACTTATGTATAGTGTGGATCAGACACATGTGCATAGTGTGGTTCAGATACATGAACACTTGTGCATAAATTGGATTAGACACATGTATACTTATACAAAGTGTGGAACAGATACATGTGCATAGTGTGGATCAGATGCATGTACACGTGTGCATAGTGTGGATTTTTGAAATACTAAGGCTTTTCTACCTCAGGAATAGATACCTTAGCTGTATTTGGCAAAACTTTTAGGAATTTTTGGTCCTCAATGCTCTTCAACTTCGTACTTTATTTGGCCTTTTTAACTTTTTTTGATTAGCGCGTTACTGATGAGTCTTTAGTAGACGAAACGCGCGTCTGGCGCAAATACAAAATTTCAATCCTGGTATCTATGATGAGTTTATTCAGACACATGTATACTTATACAAAGTGTGGATCAGACACATGTATACTTGTGCATAGTGTGGATCAGATACATTTACATGTGTGCATAGTGTGGATCAGATACTGCATATATGTACACTTATACACACTGTGAATCTGAAATTTTGAAAGTTAAAGACCCTAATTAACATTTGTAGATGTTGGTTTTGATCAGATATATTGTCAATGGTACACAGTTTGGATCAAAAACAGAAAGTAACGTAACAGACCCTGGACATTAAGAAATGTAAAGACCATTTGTAACTTTGGATGTTGGCTATATTGTACTTATTTTTTATGGTAACAAAAATTTAACACAAAAACAATTTTCTATGCTATTGAATTACAGGTGAATTATTTGCCCAGTGTCCTGTTGAAACATACCCAAGTGTAGCTGTTGAAGCAGTTATAGATTCCAGTCGTTATTTTGTTTTACGGATTAAAGATGATGGTGGTATGTATAAATCTTGTGAAATTTTATTTGTGTGTTTATAAGTTTGTATTTTATGCTATACTAAGCTACAGGTACAATGTATAAATGTGCAAGTAAAGAATTTAGACATTTCAAATTAAGAAAACCTAACCCCTTCATTTAAATCTAATGGTCATTGTTATGTTATTCATTCATAATTTACTATCCCGAGGAGGCTGAGCAAAACAATAAAATAACAACTTCTGAGATGGAAATAAATGTACTGGTCTAAGCTCGTCCCATTCTTTGCCTTTCCCTAAACAAGCGGTCAATGGTAGGATTTGATAGTGCAATATTCCACCAATAACTAATAAACTTTTATCTAATGCACTCCTAAAATAACAGCAATTTGACTCACTCAAAGATTAAAGTATAATGCAGCCCTTAAAGTAGGTTAAAAATGAAGTTGCCATTTGGCCACCAGATATAAAATTTCAGAATTTCAGTGGCCAATTCCAAAGTTTAGTGGCCAGGCATTAATTTCAGGTGGCCTAAAAAGTTTGCTATGAAATAGCATATCATATAGGCTAGATATAAGTCTAGATGAGAGCATATTACATAAAATTTTTCTATAGAAAATTGAAGTTAGTATCTTATATGATCATGAATGGTGGTTGTTAATAACAAGTTTGAACAGCTTATTTCTGATGGTTATTGTGTACTGAGGTGAAAAAAACAGTAAGTGTGTTTCTTGTTGCATTAGATGGTCAAGTGATTTTTTGTCGAGCCTGCGACTTCTGTCGCAGAAAGCTCGACAGAGGGATAGTGATCCGGTGGCCGCTGCGGTGTTAACTAACTACTATAAAGTTTTATATTTTGGAAGGTGGAAGACCTGGAGGATTCATACTTTGTATATAGATGCCCATATACATATGTCCATAGGCCTTGTCCTCATTTTCAGGGTTAAAAAGTGAAGATTTTTTGTAATGTTGATTTCTCTCTTATTATGAGTAATAGGATAACTATATTTAGTATGTGTGTACCTTGCAAGGTCCTCATGCCTGTCAGACAGTTTTCATCTGACCTCGACCTCATTTCATGGATTAGTGAACAAGATGAAGTTTGTGTGGTCAAGTCCATATATCAGATACTATAAGGAATAGGTCATCTATATTTGCTGTATGGAATGATTGTAACGAGTACATATCCAACTGGCAGGTGTCATCTGACCTTGACCTCATTTTCATGGTTCAATGGTTAAAGTATTTTTTTTGTTTTTCTGTCTTTTTTTCTAATACTGTATGCAATAGGTCAACTATATTTGGTGAATAGAATGATTGTAAGGTTTATATGTCTGTCTGGCAGGTAACATCTGACCTTGACCTCATTTTTCTTGGTTCATTGGTCAATTTTAAATTTTCATGGTTAAGTTTGTTTCCTAGAAACTATAATTAATATGCCAACTATATTTAATGTATAGATTGATTGTAGAATTGAGAATGGAAATGTAGAATGTGTCAAAGAGACAACAACCCGAGCAAAGAGCAGAAAACAGCTGAAGGCCACCAATGGGTCTTCATCACAGCAAGAAAATCCCGCACCCGGAGGCAGGCCTCAGTTGACCCCCAAACAAAATGTGTACTAGTTCAATGAAAATGGACATCACACCAAACTCCAAAACATATAAATGAACTAAAATTAAAAAACACACCAGACTAAGGGATCATAGATTTATTCTTACGAGGAATCTCCGAGGAAGCTCCAAGCTTGCTTGGAGGATGCTCAGAGCTTTTTAAGTAGGCTCTCCTCAGCAGTTTATGTGACAATAATTACATGTATCATGATCCATTAATCCAATTCTATAATAAGGAAAGTAAAGCATTATAGAGGAAGCTCAATTAACACCTGTATAAACATCTGGTCTATTCAAATACATTTTGCCTGAAATTTTACAAAACTATAAAATAGATTAGAAATTCTTCATCAGTACTGTGTAATGCTTGGAAAGAAATCTCAAGTCTCCACAAAAAGTAAAAGTCATTTAAATATTTTCTTATTATATTTAATAATCATTCCTTTTTTTATAATAAAAAAATTCTCAAATTTTATAATTAGATGATATGATTTAAATATGATTTTAATAAAGTTTATATTATATAATATGCTACATAAAAGTTATCAAGACACAAACACCAGTCAGGGGGCGATACTAAACAAGTTATCTTTTGTAGTTACTTTAATAGGTATTTTTTGTTTTTAAAAATTATTTTATAACTCAATAGTTATTTTAATTGTTAAAAGAAGCATATGGACTTAATGTAGTTTTTAAGAATTTTTATACGACCGCAAAAAAAATTTTGTGGTCGTATATTGGTATGACGTTGCCGTCGCCGTCGTCATCGTCGTCGTCGTCCGAAGACACAATAGTTTTCGGACTCTAAATTTAGTTTAAGTGAATGGATCTCAATGAAATTTTACCATAAGTTTCAATACCACAAAAGGAAGGTGGGGATTGATTATGGGGGTTATGGTACCAACAGTTAAGGAATTAGGGGCCAAAAAGGGGCCAAAAATAAGCATTTTTGTAACTTCCAGACATAACTTGTGTGTAAGTAGATATAAGAAGATGTGGTATGAGTGCCAATGAGACAACTCTCCATCCAAGTCAAAATTTATAAAAGTAAACCATTATAGGTCACAGTACGGTCTTCAACACGGAGCCTTGGCTCACACCGAACAGTAAGCTATAAAGGGCCCCAAAAATTGTGTATAAAAAAGTGTATGGATCTCTCTGACATTGTACCACAAGGTTCCATATCACAAAGGGAATGCTGGGATTGATTTTGGGGGTAATTGCCTCCAAATTTTAGGAATTAGGGGCCAAAAAGGGGCAAAAAACAAGCATTTTTCTAGTTTCATGACAATAACTTGTGTGTAAGTGTATGGATCTCTCTGACATTGTATAACAAGGTTCCATATCACAAAGGGAATGCTGGGATTGATTTTGGGGTAATTGCCTCCAAATTTTAGGAATTAGGGGCCAAAAAGGGGCAAAAAACAAGCATTTTTCTAGTTTCATGACAATAACTTGTGTGTAAGTGTATGGATCTTTATGAAATTGTACTACAAGGTACCATATCACAAAGGGAAAGCTGGAATTGAGTTTGGGGGTAATTGCCCAAAAAGTTTAGGAATAAGGGGCCAAAAAGTGGCCAAAAATAAGCATTTTTCTAGTTTCCAAACAATAACTTGTGTTCAAGTGTATGGATCTCTCTGAAATTGTACTGCAAGGTACCATACCACAAATGGAAGGCTGGGATTGATTTTGGGGGTAATTCCCTCAAAATTTTAGGAATTAGGCGCCATAAAAGGGCCAAAAAACAAGCATTTTTCTAGTTTCATGACAATAACTTGTGTGTAAGTGTATGGATCTTTATGAAATTGTACTGCAATGTTCCATATCACAAAGGGAAAGCTGGGTTTGAGTTTGGGGGTAATTGCCCTAAACATTTAGGAATTTGGGGCCAAAAAGTGGCCAAAAAACTCGCAGTTTTCTAGTTTCCAGACAATAACTTGTGTTCAAGTGTATGGATCTCTCTGAAATTGTACTGCAAGGTACCATACCACAAAGGGAAGGCTGGGATTGAGTTTGGGAGTGATGAATCATAAGGGGGTTCAAAAAATTTGGGAGGGGGATTTTTTTTTTCATTTTTTTTCTTTAAAATTTTCCATTTTAAATTGGTTATTTCTGATTTATATATAAAAGCAAATAATAATGATATGGTTTGAATAGGTAAATTTAAAAATTTTAAGTTCTTAGACCACTTTCATTCTGTGTCAGAAACCTATGCTGTGTCAAATATTTAATTACAATCCAAATTCAGTGCTGTATCAAGCTTGAATGTTGTGTCCATACTTGCCCCAACTGTTCAGGGTTCGACCTCTGCAGTCGTATCAAGCTGCGCCCCAGCGGAGCATTTTATTATATAATAAAATTAAATAAAATTAAGTATTTATCCAATTTGAGATGAGTATAGAGAGGTTACTTAAAGAATATTGACAAAAATATTACTTCAATAAATTATTTTATACATCTTCGAAAAACTTAGTACTTACAATTATTTAAGGAACATATGTACAACAATGTAATTGTTTTTGATTAAGATTCTAATTCTAAATAACTTCAAGTCTTAGTTAAATCACAAGGTTCCATCTATTTATATCTGTCTATCTCTAAGATTTTAAGGTGAAATGATATTTTAATAGCCCCAAGAGGCCACTCTTCGACCAAGAAGTGTGGCATCAGAAAGGCAATTAGTGCTTCAGGAGGATTTAAATAGTTTTATATTTCATGGGGAAAATAACCAGATGTCTGTGAAAATTTGTTAAAGCTAGTAAAACCTGTATGAATGGACACCTATAAAAATAATATTAACAGAAGTTACTTATTCATAATATAGAAGTATATTTGAAACATAACTTGTATATGTAATTTTGAAAATTACTTGTTTAAGTAATGCCCCTAACTAAACAATGGTAATATGTTTTTTTATTAAATAACAAACTTAGTTCTTTTATAGAAAATTATGGCTACTTTATGAAAAGTTGTATTTCATTATTGGAAGCCTGGTTTGAGGGGGTAATATCACCATTGTTTTCCCTCTAGTACTTCTCTCTTTAATTTGCTTTTTTTTTAAATTGTGCCGATTTAGCTTTGTTTTAAATAAAGAAATATTTGGCAGGAGTAAAGTTTATCCTGTCCAGTTCTAAAAGTAAAATTGTTTTTCCTCTATAAGTCTTTGTTTAATTGGTATTTTTCAAAAAAATGTGCAGAATTTATCTATGTTTTAAATAAAAGAAATACTTGACATGAGTAAAGTTTTATCCTGTCATGTACTACAGTAAAAATACAACTTAACTTTTCAGTGCATATAAGAAAGTAAACATCACCAGAAGTTAACCAATCAAATTATCTCCCCCTTTTTTCCCTGTTTACAAAATAGAATTTTTGTATTGCCTTGAAACACCCGAAATACATTTTT